GGGCGGGCGGGCTCGCCTCTCTAATTTTGGCTCCGTAAAGAATATCGGGTCAATTCTTCATTTTCACGGAGCTCTTTATGGAGCCGTGAACAGCTGGTGCTGGAGGAGGCTGGGCGTCACGCGCCCCAGCTGTGGACGGGCGGCACGGCGGCCCTCAGCCCTGCCACCGGGAAGGCTGATTTTTTTCCTGTGGTTTTGAAGGGAGATTCCCCCCTCCTGCCCCCCGTGCTCTGCCCGCCCCGGAGCCCCTGCCCCGTGCCGAGAGAGCCCGGTTAGCCACTCCCTGGAGCTCAGCCCTGCTCCCGGGGAGGACACCGAGCACAGAAGCTCTCCTGCATGGCAGTGTGCTGTATTTATGTACCTGGCAGTGGCATGCATGGCATGTCCTGCAATAAACATTTGTCCTGATTAGCTGGATTAGTGAGGGAGAGCTTTATTTAGGGCCCTCAGTCCCACACTGAGGTCAGAGTATTCCAGACTCGATTTCTGAAAATACCACTGTCGCGCTTTTTACTTTCTTTTATGGTAGCTGGGAGTGGGAGCCTGCCAGTTCCCTCTCTTCCCAGCCAGAGTAGGTAGTGCTGGAGGTCTGGCAGTGCCTGTCTTGAGTGGGTGCATCCTTCATGTCCTGCCTCCGCCAGGTTTCCCCTGCAGCTGGAGAGCGGCCAGACCGTGGAGTGCACAGTGGCTCAGTACTTTAAGCAGAAATACAACCTGCAGCTGAAATACCCCCACCTGCCCTGTCTCCAGGTTGGCCAGGAGCAGAAGCACACGTACCTGCCCTTGGAGGTGAGTGCTGGCCCTCGCCGTTGGGCGCCCCGGCTTTTGGGCACCGTGCAAAACAAAGGCAAGCGGCCTTTGCTGCCAGACGCGTGGCAACGTTCTGCAGCTAATGTGTCGTGGGCGCTAATTGCCTCAATGGTGACCTGGCAAGAGCTGCTTTCAGTAAGCGAGGGAGGAGACCACGCTGTAGAAATGCCATTTTCCTGCAGCTGCAGGCTCAGCGTCTCTGGTCTGGGGCTGGCTGCAGGGCCCAGGTGCGTGCCCACGGGGCAGGTTGGCCGTGGTCCCCCGTGTCTCACCTGTCCCTAACACGTGGCTGCCGTCTCTCCCCTGCCACGCAGGTGTGCAACATCGTGGCAGGCCAGCGGTGCATCAAGAAGCTCACAGACAATCAGACATCGACCATGATAAAAGCAACAGCCAGGTCTGCCCCAGACAGGCAGGAGGAAATCAGTCGCCTGGTACGTGGCACGAGTCCCTGGAAGGGATGGGAGGGACGGTGTCGGGGCTGCGGCTCTGATGGCACGTTACGGCATCATGTCCGTGGTGAACCTTGCTGTGGTCCTGCTCCTGAGCTGTTCTGCACTGGAGAGCTGCGACCTGCTCAGAAGATGCTGGTGGGGTTAATGGCTTGGTTTTATCACGCTCTGCTCACTGAATCCTTGGTCAGAGATGTCTGCACGTGTGTAATGGACACTGGTATAGAGGAGCCCAGCTCAAAGTGACCGTGGAAACTCGTGTGCAGCAAATCCAGGTCCTCGCAGTGGTGGAACCTGACCCAAAGGGAGCTGGAACTAAAAATAGGAAAATAAATTACAGAAATGACCCTGGCTCTGGGTGTACATGGGGCCTGTGCGTTGTGGGGCTGCGGTACAGGAACTCTTGTCTGCAGGTCAGCCCGGGGCGAGCCAGGCGAGCAGCAAACCCGGCTCTGCCAGCAGCTGGCCAGGAGGTGGTAATGGTGCTGGTGTTACCCAAACGAT